GTCAAATTCTTCAAAGTGGAAGAACTTGTGAAGCCTTATCAAGACATTCCCTTTCCGTAAGAGTGCCTGGATGGCTTACAGTGAGACGAAATAGAACTCCCTTCTGCTGCTCCGTTGCTTCACCATTCACAGACTCTGTACCTTGCTACTCCTTACCTTACATGACTTCACCTGTTCAGGACCTGTTTTCCTCCTGCACCAAGGAAGAGGTTCCCTGCTTTTAGCTCCTGCATTTGCTAACATTCTCGTATGAAAACAACCCTGACCGACTCTTACAGGTAGTGATTCAAAGTGAACCGAACCCATAGCTTTCTACAATGACAAATAAAAATACTTTTATTCAGGAATTAGACTAAGTTTTTCAAGTTTTAAAGGGGTCAAAAGTTTTGAACTTTGTTTCCCTTCAAAAAACTTCCCCTCCCCCATCCCGCATTATTTAGCAGTGGTTTTGTTTTGAAATTGAAAAATATATTATATATGGATCAACTATTATCACACCAACCACACACACATAACACCCACCACACACCACAAAATATTGAAGGCTGGGCGTGATGGCTAACGCCTGTAATCCTACCATGTCTGCGAGGCAAGGCAGGTGGATTGTTCAGTCAGAGAGTTCAAGACCAGCTGAGCGAGACAAGACCTGTCTCTACTAAAAATAAAAAAAATTAATGACAAACTAAATACATAGACAAATTCTAAGCTAGGCTGGGTAGTGGCCTGCTTGTAGTCCCGCTATCAGGATCTAAGGCAGGAAGATTGGCTGAGCCAGGATTTTTCAGTTGCTGTGACTAGCTGATGCCCGGCTCCTTAGAGGGAACAGTGAGATCTGTCTAAAAAAAAAAAAGAAAAAAAAGATCATTGATATAAAAAAAATGCTGAATATGAGGTGTGTGTACCTGTTGGTTTTCCCTTCATATGGACTTTACTCAACATTAAATATCTTCTATGCATTTTCATGATTTTTTGATTTTTGACAATGTGGACATTCCAAAGTTTATGTAGCAATCTTCTATTTCTTCCTCTCTTTTTGTCATCTGCTCTTTGCCAGCTAGAGTCGGTGGCATTAGCCTAGCTCACGTAACTCACTCTTGGTCAAGCATCTTCCTATCTGCTCAGCTCCAAGTAGCTGGGAGCTTTAGGCTGCACACCTGCCCGGCGAATTTTTCTATGTTTTTTTGAATTTTTCTTTCTATTTACTAGAGACAGGGTCTTCTCTTGCTCGTGGTCTCGACTTCCTGAACTTGACGATCCTCCAGCTGGCTCCTAGTGGTAGGATTCAGGCGTGAGCCACACTGGCTGATTTCTTACTGTTAAAAATAGTGTCGCATTGGAGGTCCTTTCATTTACTGATTATTTCCTTGATAATTGTTAAATCTATCGAGGTTTTAAACCTCTTTCCTCTGTTTTGACTTAGAGCTTACATCATTGTGTGGCACTTTTCTTGATTTAGGAATGACGGGCAGACTCAAAGATACACATTCATTAGGTTCTGAAGTCTGAAGTAAATCTTCCACTCGAAAGCATCCAATTATTATAAAAATTCTATTAAGAAGATACTGCCCAGGCGCGGTGGCTCTTGCCTTAATCCTAGCACTGCTGGGAGGCGAGCAGCGGATAATATTGAGCTCAGGAGTTCAAGACACCTGAGAAGAGCCGAGACTGCATCTTTCTAAAATGAAGAAATTAATTTGCCAACTAAAAATATAGAAAAATAGCTGGCATGGTGGCACTGCTAGCTCAGCTCTATAGTCTGTAGCTCAGTCATGTGCTGAGGCAGAAGATCGCTTGAGCCCAGGAGTTTGAGGTTGCTGTGAGTGCTGAGCACGCTCTCTGCGGGCACAGATGGACTGTCTCAAAAAAAAAAGATATTTTAAATATGTGCGCACGCTAACAGCCCACTGCTCAAAGTACAAAAAGAAAAACTGCTGGGCATACAGGGAACAAACAAACCGTATTCTTGACATACCCCTATGCGACAATGTACATGCTAGACAGGGCAATACTGTTCATACGGTATTGCCACCTGATTAACTAGAACACCAAGATGTCCTTCAAGAAAGGATGCCTACAAATCTACCGAGTCTCCCTCTGTTGCCCAGGCTAGAGTGCCGTGGCGTCAGCCTCGCTCACACATCTGCCTCATCTTTCTTCTCATGGAATCTCAACCCTAGATATATTTCTTTAAAGCTTTTTCAGTTTGGCCAGACTGGATGCCATCAAAACCTACTCTAATTCTTTTAACTTTGTTACAAGGTACCTTGCCCTTTCACTTTTTTCATTATTGAAACTTACAGGCTTTCTTGTGCCATCATCGTCTGGTAATAAACCTGGATAGTTTATAAGATACTGATTTTATAGGTAGCAATTATAATTTGAACATAAAATTTCTAGTGTTTTCTTGTAATTTTAAAGTGGCCACACTAGTATATTTTTTATCTTCTGGCTCATAGCCAACAATGGTGAACAAGCAGTAGGTCGTGATTGTGCTGACCTTTTTGTCTCCAAGCCAATATGTTAAAGATTTTAACAGACAGAACCTGCCCTTGTTAGGGGACGATCAGCCCTCTGCCAGAAAGGCGCCTCAGCCTAGCTCACATGGCAGAAGTGGAACCTTCAGAGTCCAAGACAGTGAGCACAAGATGAAACCCCAAGCTTTCCTAGTTCTGGGACTGTGGTTTCTTAGGATTTGCTGGGGCCTTAACAAATAAATTTCTTATAAAGACTTCACACTTCTAGTAAACCAAAGCTATCCGGTACTGGGTTGAATAGTATCTTCCCCTCTCCCCTAAAATTCATGTCTACCCAGAACATGAGAATATGATCTTATTTGGACATAGGACCTTTGCAAATAAAATCTTGTTAAGGATGAGGTGGAATTGCATTATGGTGGGCGCTAATCCAGTGACTGGTGTCCTTATGAGAAGAGGGAAATTCAGACAAACAGACACAGAGAAGAGAACCAGACATAAATTGGAGTGGTGCGTCTACAAGACAAGGAACACCAAGGATTGCCACAACCACCAGAAACTAGGAGGGAGGCATGATGCATACTCTTCCTCAGAGCCTCCAAAAAGGAACCAGCCCTATTCACATCTTGATTTCTTGACTTTGAGCCTCTAGAACAGGCGTCCTCAACCTACGGCCCCCAGACCACATGCGAGTGTTTTTGCCCGTTTGTTTTTTTACTTCAAAATAAGATATGTGCAGTGTGTGTAGGAATTTGTTCATAGTTTTTTTAAAACTATAGTCTAGCCCTCCAACAGTCTGAGGTACAGTGAACTGGCCCCCTGTTTAAAAAGTTTGAGGACCCCTGCTCTAGAACCATGAAAGAATAAATTTCTCTACTTTTTAAAGCCATCCAGTTTGTCATACTATGTTATGGCAGCCCTAGGAAACTAGTACACCCAGAATATCTCTCGTCACTTAAAATCAAAATGGTCAAGCTTCAAAAGAGGAGACATATGACAAGGAACATGCCAGAAGCTCAGGTCTCAGAGCACAAAAGGACCAGGGCATTAATAGGTGGGACCATCAGAGGACAGTGACTGTCAGCTGCCTTTCCGTCTCACATGCCCCAGTTAATGACGATGTTATGGGTCAGAGCTGAGGCTTAAGTCGAAGTTTTCTGAAAGTAAAGCTGAAAAATACTTTGAGTGTCTGATAACAGGGGATGTTAAAAGAAAGAAGGTGACAATGTGTTTCTACTTTTTAATGTCTCATCATAGAATCACGAAGCTGCAACTGAATGAGGCTTGTTGTCTAACACAGCTCGTGGTTGCCCACTCTCCCCTCTCCCGAGGGTGGCCGAAGCTGAGTTCCACGGCTTTTGCCAGGACGACCCGAGGCATGCTGCCCTCCTGTAGACACTTAGGGTCATGGCACAGCCAGGCTAACCGGGAGCCGAGCAGTGTCTGCAGGGCCAGGCCTAGCAGCACACACCTCATTGGAGAACCTTGTCATTTGAGTCTTTAAGTGTGAAAGAAAAGCCTTAGACCCCACCAAGCATTTCCGCAGGCATCCCCAAGCAGGTGCGAAGCAGTGGTGCTTTGCCCACGAATAGGCAAAGTGGGCACATGACCTGGGCAGCAGCAAGGCAGAGGCACCAAGATATGAGAGAGAGAGAGAGAGAAATTGGAACACTTAGAAAAACTATTTTAATTTCATCACGCCTTAAGTTTCACTTTGAAAACTAAATTTTTGTTTTATGGTTTTAGCATTTTTTTCCCCAGAATTATGCATAAGCCCTCTCAGTTTCTTAATCTGGCCGTGGTGGAACATCTTCCTATCGTCTCCCAAGTGACACTTCATGGACAAGCCCTGAGAGGAACATGCGAGTTCCGCACGCACCATGTATCAGAAACACTGCGCTAGTCTGGAGCTCAGCAGAGTGTTACAAAACAGATTAGGCAGGGACCAAGATACTGCAACTACCACCTGGCCTGGGGAAAGTGCCCAGCAGGCACTTTCTTGCCTTGAGACAGAGGGCCCTGACTGCTTTGCAGCTGCTTTGGCTGTGCTGTGGCGCCTTTAGCTAATTATAATACTAAAATCCCCACCTAGTGGAAAATGATATCATTAACATAACGTGGGTCACATGACAGCTCATGATAATAGTACTGTGCCAGTGAGATTTGTTTGGCCCTGGGAAGAAGCAAAGATACAATGCAAAAATTTTGCATTTCTCATTGGGAAGAGATTTAAAGCCACACCACAGCGTGGGCGGCTGAGAATTTTGCTAGCAAGGGGCTCCTGCGGGAGAAATTCCTGCGCCACCGAGGTGCAAGTGCTCTGATAAGTAACCTCTAATAAACTCATTTAACACTCGAAGCTGGATTTGTTGGGGTCATTCTTCAGTCTCTCGCTTGCAGTTTGGGGGGTGGTTTTTCTCTACTGTCCCGGGACTGTCCCCAAACAAGTCCCAATCAGCCCTGCCCACAGAGATCGTCCATTCCACCCACACCTCCCAACCCCCACACTGTGGAGTTTCTACCCACCTGTAGGCAGAAATCTGAGCCCTGCCAGGGGTCTGCAGTTCTCTCTCCATCTCCTCCTTGCTAGTACCCAGGTAAGTGGACAGGAGATCCAGCCGGTGAATATGGAAGAGCAGCTCCTTCAGGAAAGACAGGTTGTTTTCCTCCAACATTCTCTTTTCCTGGAGTCTCTCGAATAATGTCAAGGCATCCCTGATGTGTTCCTGCTTCCTTTGTGGGATGTAGTCCAGGCTTAGGAACTTGAGGGAAGCCAGCTCGTCGCTGTCTATTTCTTCCCCGATACTGTAGAGACATCCGCTGAAATCCATCCTTGTCAAGAGGTAGTAGAATGTAGTGGTAGCCTAGGTTAAAATGTAATGTTACGTTCAGATGAGGAAGAAAAGTACCATATACTGGTTTGTCCCTTCCTCAAATGCCACTGCACCTATGTTGTGCTGTGGATATAGGGAAGGGGGAAAAAACGGCACAGGACAAGTTCCTCCTCATGATGTAGGAACGTAGGTAAACAAAGGAGTCAGTGGTCACAGAGTTGTGACCAGGTGCAGTAGGAATGTAGAGGGAGGAGCCCTAACTCAGCCTGAGAGGGCTTCCTGTGGAGAAACCACAGTTCTGGCAGGAAACAATTTATGCAAAAGGCGGAGGCAGAACTTCCAAGTCAATGGGCTCAAGGACCTCCAAAAAGTAACCACAAAGGGGCTGGGATGGAGAGTGCCGGGACAAAGGAATGGAGTGGTAGCAAGGAACCACATCACAGGAACCTCACACTATGGGCAGGGGGTTTAGGCTTTGTTCTGGAGGGGTGGGGAACTAGGAAGGGAGGGGTTGCAAAATGGGAATGACATCATCCAATGTTGGATTAACACCTATAGCGTGGAAGACAGATTGGAAGACTTGGAGGCAGGGGACCTCCGAGGACCTATTAGGAGGAGGCATTTAGGCAGGGGAGAGCAGGATTGATAGGGTCTGGCTGAAACAGTGACGGGAGGAGGACATGGAGCAGCGCTGTCCCCAAAGGGCCCAAGGACCAGGCCATACAGCTGCTCAGAAACCCAAGCCTGGAAACTGAACCAGTCAACCCTGACAGCGCTTTCCACTATTAACAGTCTCTAAATCAGGCTACGTGGCATTTTCACACGTATGCATGTTTCCAAAGGAGAGGGCAGTGCTTCAGGCAATCCCAAGCAGTCTTGACACCAGCGGCCCAGGATCCAGGTCTTCTCCTGAGTCCCAAGGCTCAACCCCCTGGAACAATGTCTCCCCCACCCTTCCTGCTCTGACCAGCCCTGTCCAAGAGGGAAAGGAACCCTGGGAGCAGCGTTTGTGCTTGATTCTTCATAAGAACTATACCTGGACATGGCCCCCTAATGCAGGCTACAGCGTCACTGTCCCAGGAAGGTGGTAGTGCAGTGCTTAAGAGCACAGGCTTGGGAGGATCAAGATGGCGGACGAGAAACACCGCCAGACAGAGTGTCTCTGCAGAAAAGACAGATTCTAGCAGAAATTAGAAAAAAGAAGCAAGAAGACAAGCATACAGCGGACGAGGGCCGGAAGGAGGGGTACCTGAGACCCCGGGAGACACCACGGGAGGAGGCTGCGGAGGAGAACTGGAGGCTGAGACCGCCGGAGCAGCCCGGAGACCAGCGGCAAGGGTAGGTGGATCTGCTGTTTCCGCTCCCCTGCATCTCAGACTGCTGGTGGGCTCCCCAGCAGGTGGAGAGGCCTGCGGACACCAGCCCAGAAACGGCTGCCGCCAGCCAGCGGTGAGCCTATAGCGGACATGGCACCAGGCTCCCAACTCCCTCCCGGCACCTCCGTGTACATAGACCCGAGCCGTGCGGCAGGTGCCATATTGCCTCCTTCTCCCCTCTGCCAACCCTACCCGCAGCTGCCCAGCTGCGGGTGCCTCCAGCTGCCCGCAGCCACCAGCTGCCCGCAGCCACCAGCTGCCCGCAGCCACCAGCTGCGGATGCCTCCAGTTGCCCGCAGCCACCAGCTGGAGGCACCTCCAGGGAACAGGACCTTCCCTTTTGGGACCCTACAGCTGACTCAGGGGAACTCAGACTGTGAGCTCCCTACCTGCCAGCCCTCCCAGGTGCTGCTGGCACGGTGTTCCCAGGAGAACGGTGCTGACTCAGAGGCTGAGAGACATAGACCCAGCTTGGGCTCCCTGTGGGTGAATTGGGACCAGAACTCCTCTCCCTGGTGGGGATACAGTTTGAACTCTGGGACCCAGAGGTCAGACCTGTAGACCAGATCCTGTGCACCAAGGTCTAGCATTGCCCGGGGCACAGAAGGGTTATACGTGAACAGCCTACTGAGGTGTGTGTGCCTTCAGGGGCAGATCAGCGTCCTAGAGGGCAACCTTCCTCCCAAAAGGAGGCCATACGCCCAGCCCAGGTGGCGTTCCTGCTCAGGGAACCTCCCCACTGGCATCACAGTCCGGGGAGGCCTGGTGGCGTGTGGTCTGGCCTGCTGGCAGAGGCCCAGGAGTAGCTGCGGAGTTGGGGAGGGTGGAAAGAAGCGAGGCCCACTCCAGACTGTGGGTCTCAGACAGCCCCACCCCCACACGCAGACTCTCTGACTGAGTGGGGCCATTCCAGCCCCGCCCTGACAGCTTTTCCTGGAAGCAGAGAACAGAACTTTGACCCCTGCTAACAGCACTGGTGGTGCCTGAGGGCAGGCTTACCCAACCCAGCTCCGCCCAGACTCTCTCCTAGACCAGCCCTCACTGAGGGGGAAAAAGGACACACCTGGGAGTCCAACCAAAATCAGGCAACCAATATGACAGAACAGGAATTTCGTATGTGGATCATAAGAACACTCACTGACCTACAACAACAACTCAATAACCAACACAAAGAAACCACAAAAAGCCTCCAGGATATGGAACAAAGGTTCACTAAAGAGATCAACACAGTGAAGAAAACCTTAACCGAAGTCCTGGAGATGAAGAATCAACTCAGGGAAATACAAAATACTGTGGAAAGTCTCAAGAACAGGGTAGATCAAACAGAAGAAAGAATCTCAGAGATTGAAGATAACACCTTACAATTAAATAAATCAGTCACAGAGATAGAGCAGAGAAACAAGAGAAAAGAGCAAAGCCTACAAGAGCTGTGGGACTATGTGAAACAACTAACGTGAGGGTCATCAGGGTTAGCGAAGGGAAGAGATAACACTGCAGGGCCCGCTTTTTTGAACGATAACAGATAGAGGAAAATTTCCCAGGCCGTGTCAAATCCAGATATAAAGTTCAAGAACCCCAGAGGACCCTGGAGATTCAATGCAAACAGGACAAGGCGTCACATCATCCAGTTCTCAGACTGACTAAAATACAATAACAGAGGCTTTCTAAGACTATAAGACAAAAGAAGCAACAATGACATACAAGGGAAGCCATAGAATGAACCACAGCACTTGCTCTAATGAACTTTACAAGCCAAGAGAGACTGGGCCCCATTCTCGCCTCTTCTGAAACAAAACAATGCCCAGCCTAGATCTTCACCCTGCAAAACTAAGCTCACTATATGAAAGGAGAATAAAGACATTGCTCAGAAGCAAGTCTCAGAGAATTCACCAAGACAACGAAGCCCTACAGAAGTACTCAAAAGTGTTACGCAGGAGCACGATAATAAAAATCGTCAGAATTAAAAACAACCAAAACCAAAGATTAAAGGCGATATACAATGGCTCAAGACAGAATCAAAGCACAACATCCAACCCAACAGAATGACAGTAATCAATCTTACCTATCAGTTCTCTCAATAATGTGAATGGCTTAAACTCTCCACTCCAAGAGACATAGGCTGGGTGAATGGAAAGAAAATACAGCCCAAGTATATGCTGTCTTCAGGAAACACATCTAACCTGCAAGGATGCATATAGACTAAGGTAAAAGGGTGGAGATCAGTATTACCAGGCAAGTGGAAGCCAAAAGAGAGCGTGGCATTTTAATTTCAGACGATTTCGTTTTTAAACCAACAAGAGTGGAAAGCAAGAGGGTCATTATATACATGGTGAAGGGCACACTTCAACAAAAGATATCAATTTAAATTATATATCCCCACTTAGGTGCACCCATTTTCATAAAGCACAACTTCTGAATCAAGCAAGTGGATTATAGACTCGTACACTAGAGATTTCACACCCACTGATGCAAGACGACCTCCAACAGAAAATTCAATAAAGAAATAAATGGACATTAACACCTGGAACATTGGTCTGACTGACTATAGACATTTACCACAATCCACTAAATATACGTTTTCTATCAGCTCACGGGACATCCTCTAAGAACGACCATATCACTAGAACACAAAGTAAATTTCAAAGAATTTATAAAAAAATAGAATCATACCCATGTACCTCAGATCACAGTGGAAAAACTAGAACAACCTAACAGAAATCACATTTCTACACAAATTAAATTAAACACTCCTATACATGATTTCACTTCATAAATGAAGATCAGAGGAAATAAAAATTCTATGAAGAACGAATGAAGAGACATTATCAACTCCTCTGGACACATCTAAAGCATCTGAGAGAAAGTTTATCTCCATACAATGCCTATACCAAAAGACAAAAGATAACATAGCACAATCTAAACAACTCAAAGGCTGGAAACGCACCCAAACCCAGCAGAGAATGAAATCACAAGATCAAATGACTAAATGAATTGAAACAGGAGCTATTAGGAGATTAATAAAAAAAAGTTGGTTCTGAAATAACAAAATGACACCCATATGGCTAAACAAAGCAGAAGAGAAATTAAATACTCCATCAGAGATAAAGAGGAGATATCATAATGATCCCAAAAGATTAAGATATAATTTTAAATGTACTACAAAAAATCTGTATGAACACAATGAAAATGTGAGGAAATGGACAAATTCTAGAACACACAGCCTCCTAGGCTTCAACCAGGAAGAATAGATTCCTGAACAGACCAATTCTCACACTGAATAGAAACAGCAATAAAGATCTCCCCTAAAGAAAAACTCTGGTCCAGATGCTTTCACACCAATTTTACCACACTTACAAAAGAATAGTCTATCTTGCGAAATTCCCACAACTCGAGAGAAACGGAACCTCCCGACTTCCTTTTTTATGAGCGAATATTCTCTGATACCAAAAAGAAGGATGAAAAAAAAGAAACTCCAGACCAATATACTAATGAATATAGATGCAAAATTTTCAACAAAATCTTAGCTACGAACAACGCTTATCAAGAAAAGTAATCGCATCACGCAATGGGCTTCATCCAGGGATCAGGTGGTTCACATATTGTAAATATAAATGAATTCACACATAAAAGAAGCAACAAACAAAGACACATGAT